ACCAGAGGGGAGAGGGAAGGGAATTTAAGGGGGAAAAAGGGGAGGGATTTGGAGGAACAAATATGAAGGACACAGGGACGAGAACTAAGGGGGGGAGAGAATGGGAGGGAGGTGGGGAGCACGGGCGGGGGGGGGGGCTGGGATGGGAGAAATAGACAAAAAAACTGTACTTGAAAAATAACTAAATAAAATTATTTTTTTAAAAAAGATCTGTTTTCTTGTTGATTTTTTTGTCTGGATATATATCTATTGATGCCAGCAGGCTGTTAAAATCCCCCACTATGGTTGTATTACTGTCAATCTCTCCCTTAATGTCCATCAAGATTTTCTTTATATATTTAGGTGCTTCTGTGTTGAGTGCCTATGTGTTTACAAGGGTTATATCCTCTTGTTGGATCAATCCCTTTAGTATTACATAGTGACCTTTGCCTCTTGTTATGGCCTTTGTTTCGAAATATATTTTTTCTGATATAATTCAGGTTGATTGTTTTATAATATAGCTGTAAACCCAGTTTGGCTCCAGGAGCAAGTGAGTGTAGCTTCTATCCACTCTGCAGCCATGCTGAAATCCCATGTTCCTACTGATCTTCACTGTGACAATATGCTGATACTGCTGTATGTGTAAAAGCTGCTGTTTGTTATGGAACATGATATCAAGTAGACCATTATCTCTTGCCTTGGCATTTTAGCTAAAGCCCACTCTGATGACCTAATAGTACAATTCCCCATATTCCAGTTTCAAGGAATTATTATGGGCCAGCCACTTCCATACGACTTACTGAAAGGCACCAGAGCAGAGTGAGACCTCTGGACAACTACCTCTCTCTCCTTCCACTCCAGTCCTTATGAAAAGTCTGAGGAGTAAAAGGAGCTGGACTTCCACGAGAATACAACATCAATGAAGTTCATTCCTCCCCTATTCATTGCAAAAGGGTCCTACAGTGCTTTTTTTCCCCTGGTTTGGGAGGGACCCCTTGCAGGAAGCTATTATGTAACTCACTCCAGGGGGTAAGAGCTGATATGATGTGGAGAAGAAGAAACTGGACTCAGAGCTCTCAAGTGAGGAAACCATGGAGTGGGAAGTTTCCATAGGGTCCTCTGGAGAGTTACATACTCAACTGCCCAGAGCAGGAACATCTGGATATCTGCAACACAGGGAGACCATCAACTGGAGCCATGATTAACTAGCATCACCAAGGAGATGTCTGCCTCCTCCTTCCTCATCTCTATCTACTCTGACAACAGATGGTAAAGAGAGAAGAGAAGAATCAGAGTGATTTTATAATGTTTTAGATAAGCCAGGACAAATTTGAGAGTGAAAGGAATTGTTATTAATAACTACAGGAAGACAATGGGTAGAAACTGGAACTATCCCTGGAAAGTTGAGATGTACAATCACCTTGTGGGTGGTGGTAGTGGTAGGGGGAGGTATAAAAAGAGCAACTCTGATCTCCCTCCATGTCCTATCATTATCACTACAGTGACACCCACTTGACTACAAATAGGTAAACCTATCCTGGGGGAAGAAGAGGGAAAGAGCTTCAAAGCAAATTTGAGATTGAAGTTTATAAGCAAACAGAACTGAGCCTCAATTGTTGGAATAAGATTTCTCTAATGACAAAAGTGGCTAAAATTGATAAGATCTATCTAAGATGGCATTATGAGAGATGCCACCCATGGGGAAAGGAGATTTTCAACACAACTCTGTTGGAGAATTTGAACAAAAATAAATCAATTTTAGGTTTATACCAAGAAGTTGAGACTTCAGTAAATTGGTTTCAAATACACAGCAAAGCACAAAAACACTTACCAGCTGAATAGACCAGCAAATGAATTATAAAAAATATATACTGATAAATATAAGGACATCATTTAATGAGAAATAAACAGCATTAATTCTTTAAAAATCAACTTGAAATAGACCTGCAAAATGAATTATAAAAAATATATACTGATAAATATAAGGACATCATTTAATGAGAAATAAACAGCATTAATTCTTTAAAAATCAATTTGAAATAGACCTGCAAAATACACAGAAGTGCACAAGCCAGCAATGGGGTACAATATCTGGCCTTCTCTGCTTCTCACTAAAATGAAAATCATAGAAACACCTGTAAAACTACATAAAAGCATTTAGAAAGATGCTTGACAACAAGGACTAGTTGTGTTGTATTCAACAAAGGCCAGTCTTCAGCTTCCCTCTCTTCTACTTTCCCAGTGTAACATCCCAGAGTTCTTTGGGGGATGAGACAATCTACTTAAAAGTACCTACCACAGGCCCTAGCCCAATAAGTATTGATTCCCTTTCTACTGACACAGATGCTGAGCTACTGTGAAGCTAGGTGTGTGACAGTGCCCAAACCCTGCCATTGCACGTCCATTCTGTGTTTCTACATGGTCTGAGACCTTTGAACTCATGAGTGTATATGTAGGCTCTGGAATGGAAGGAAGAGACAGTTGCAATATACAATAGTTACATATACAATAGTACATGTCTACATATACTATTCCTCCTCAGTGCTCACACCCTTGCCCTCAATCCAGAAAAGAAACTTGTGAAAATTATTTTGGTTCAGGAATGGAAAGGATGAGTTCTATGGGGTTCAAGGAACAAGAAATTGATACATGCTTACTTCTTCTAACAAAATCCCAAGCACAGGCAAAACTAGTTCAAAATAAAATCAATCTGAGCATATCAAGGGAAAATAAGGTATACAAACAACCAAAGATATAACATGCAACCAGGGAACAATGTGGAGATGGGGAAAAATCTACTGTCTTGTTATTAGAGTTGGGTGTGGGGATTTATGAATGAATGGCACGTAAATGACTCTGAACTCTTCTCTTGTATCCTCTTGGGCATCTTTTGGACATTCCCCAGTGGAGTGTATTTGATACTGAGCGGTGGCCATTTGTCCAGTTTTCCAGTGATATGTATTGGGTAGCTACTGTGTATCAGACACTGTACCAGGTGTTTCACATACTTCAGCAACATTCCAGAACATATATACTTCTGTAGGGCAAAAAAGAGAAAATGGTTGAGGCTATCAAGATAGGACTCAAAGCAGGAACAATTCCTAAAAGAAAGAGCACTTACAACATTAAAAAGTGGCATAGCTTGGATTCATTTCTAACCATTTTTTAGAAAAAAAATGGCACTGCCTGATTTGCATGTTTATTCTTATTTTAAGGCTGTCATGAGTACTACCTGGTTCAGGTTTAGATTATAGTAAACATTTTATAACCCAAACTGAGCAATATCATTTGCCTCTACATGTGTTCGTATACCTGTGCCAGGAGTGGGGAAGAGCAATAGATCATTATAAGATGCTCTAAGGGATCTCCACCTGGCCTTCAGTGATTCTCATTCAGGTGACGATATCACCCCAATGGAAAGGTTGATATAAGTGTGGGTTCTTTTTGTCATCAAAACAAAAACTAGGGACTTCTATGGCATTTAGTAGACCAGGGCCAAACAGTTTAAAAGTCATGCACCTCACAGACCTGTGCCAAGGAAGAAAGAGGGCTTAGGGAGAAAGTGTTGCTTAAACACCAACAATACACTAGATACAGCAACAGGAACTTTACACACATGATCTAATTTAATCTTTAAAACAACCTATGAATGCTCCCACCAAATATATCAATAGTTCCCCCTTCTCAAAAATATTTTTCTTGCCCTGGAATAGTATCCATTACCAGATTCTTTCCAATAAACTAGGCCTGTCTCTGAAATTGGTGCCTAAAAGTGACTGGGAAAGGATTTCACAGACCATTCAGGGTTTCTTTTGTAAGTATTCAAGGAGAATCATCTCCTCTTATCATCAGTAATAAAACTAGAAACACTTAAACAACAAACAAGCAGGAAGACTATAATCTCAGAATGAGAGATGAAGGTACTGAATGCATTCAGTGTTATGAAAAGCTCACTAGGCTACTCCAGTGTTTCTCAGCCAATCACAGCCCACTAATAGCCTCACCGTGGTCTATGTCTGATCTGGGGATCAGCACTTCAGGACTGCTGACTTCAACACCCTGGATAATTTGATCTTGTCAAGACTACTTCCTTGAGCATGGGACAAAGTCAAAGACTAATTCTTAGTGCAGGGAAAGCAGAAAGGTCCCAAACCAGTGACCCTGAGCAAAAGAAAGAGAGTTGGGGGGGGGGGGAGGATGACAAAAAGCTGAGGAGAAAGTAGCCATCTTTGACATAAAAGGCCATCTAGAGTTTCCTGGAGATTTTCTCTGCTTTTTAATAGGATTATTAGAATCAGAAACCTACCCCACTGGAAAATTCCCACCTGAGAAGTACTGTTTTCTTAAAGTCTCTTCTCTGACCCATAGTCTTTTGTGATTTCTGTTCTATTTCCTTCTTTCTTTCAACACTTTTGTCCCTTCCTCCTCCCTTCAACATAATAGCAACTTGCCTTGGCCATTTCCTACTAGTCTCCTAGCTTCTTACGACTTAACAGAGGTTTAGCAGAAACAGTCAGTCGAGGCTACCAGAGTATAGGTAGCAGCAGAACAGAAAGTCCATTAACACTGGAGAAAGTAGGAAAAGCCCGGTTTGAATCTCAGCTAAGAGTGTTTCCTGGTGACCATTATGTAACCTCTTTGAGCCTTACCTTTCTTATTTGCAAGATTTGTTTAGCGTTTCCCAACTCACTAAGGTGAGGATGAAATAAGGCTGTATGTATATACCTAGTATAAGCTGCATTCAAGATATGCTAGTTTCTCCTTTACCTCCCTTTTCCTGTTCTTTTGAAATTTTTAGAAATGTTCTGCCATTCGTCTAGTTTGTAGGTCTTTCCTAGTCCATTAATTTATTCATTTACTGCCATTACATGCTTATCGTGACAGAAAATAAGCAGGCCACAGTTCAGGATTCCATCAAGACCCATTGGTTTGCATAAGTAATTGTCAAGCACAGCCAACAATGCACAGCCTGCTTCTTCTTGCCTTTCAGATATTCTCCCAGATGAATGCTGATATTCACCTCAGCACCCTAAGTGGTCAGTTGTCAAGGCTTCATCCACCTGCAAGGAAGACTGAACTGAAGAGGATTCAATATAATTTTCTCTGGATTAACATGATTTGAGGATTTTTCTAGGTGAGTTAGTTGCTTTGGATTTTAGGGGGCTGGATGTTGAATAAAAACTTATTTAAAAGAAGTACCCATTCATTTGACATAAGGGAACTAATTCTTTTCTTTCTTCCTATATTTCCTCCAATGAGAAACAGTAATTCAATGCCCTGTTCTTAAAGAGAGGCAGTAAATCTTGGCAGTTAGCCAGTCTGTGTACATTTAAATTCCAGCTCTGCCACTTACTATGAGACAGTGAAAATTATTCAATTGCTCTGTGCCTCAGTTTCCTCACTTGTAGAGTAGGATGATACTGTTATTACTTATAGAGTCACTGTGAAGAATCTAAAGTCAATAGAAGCAAGTCATTTAGGACATTGTCAGGCACATAGTACGTAATCAGATTATCCCTATTAAATGGTAGCTTTTCAACAAATAATTAGTACCTACTAAGTATTAGGCACAGTAGAGTCTACAAAAGATTAAAAAAATGGATTACCATCTCTTGTTTGCTTTCAAGCATTTTAGAATCAGAAAATAAGGGAAGTGTTGAACATTGTTTTTTTAAGTATTTTTATTGATTATGCTATTAGTTTTCCCAATTTTTCCTCCTTTATCCCCCATCCACCCTGCCCCCCACAACCCTCCAGCATTCCCTCCCCTTAGTTCATGTCCATGGGTTGTACATCTAAGTTCTTGGAGTCCTCTGTTTCCTATCTGATTTTTTATCTTTCCCCATCTATTTTATGCCTATTAATTATGCTTCTTCTTCCCTGTACCTTTTCCCCTCTATTTCTCTCTTCCCCCTCCCCACTGAACTCCTTCTGTGTGATGTCCATTTCTCTGATTCTGTTCCTGTTCTGATGGGTTGCTTACTTTTTTTTTCATTGTTTTTCTTTTCTTTTAGGTTAATTTGTGAATAGTTGTGAGTTTCTCATCATTTTATTTATTGTTCATATTTTTTATCTTCTTTTTTTACCTAAGTCCCTTTAATGTTTTATATAATAAGGGCTTGGTGATGATGAACTCCTTTAACTTCACCTTATCTGTGAAGCACTTTATCTACCCTTCCATTCTAAATGAAAGCATTGCTGGATAGAGTAATCATGGATGTAGGTCCTTGCCTTTCATGACTTCGAATAATTCTTTCCAGCTTCTTCTTGCCTGTAAGGTTTCTTTTGAGAAATCAGCTGACAGTCTGATGGGAACTCCTTTGTAGGTGACTGTCCCCTTATCTCTTGCTGCTTTTAGAATTCTCTCCTTCATTTTAATCTTGGCTAATGTAATGATGATGTGCCTTGGTGTGTTCCTCTTTGGGTCCAGCTTCTTTGGGACTCTCTGGGCTTCCTAGACTTCCTGGAAGTCTATTTCCTTCGACAGATTGGGGAAGTTTTCCTTCATTATTGTTGAAATAAGTTTTCAATATCTTGCTCTTATTCTTGTCCTTCTGGAACCCCTATCATTGGAATATTACAATGTTTCAGGTTGTCCCAGAGAATCCTCAGTCTCTCTTCATTTTTTTGGATTCTTGTTTCTGTGTTCTGATCCAGTTGGATGTTTAATTCTTCCTCTTGTTCTAAATTGTTGCTTTAAATCCTGGTTTCCTTCTTGTCATTGTTGGTTCCCTGAATATTTTGCTTTATTTCATTTGGGGGTATCTTTCATTTTTCAACCAAGCTCAATCAGTTCTGTGAGCATTTTGATTATCAGGGCTTTAAATTCTCCATCAGATAGGTTAGCAATTTCATCAATTAGTTCTGAGGTTTTGCTGTGTTCTTTCATTTGGGCCATATTTCTTTGTCTTGGTGCAGCTGACAGGTTGTAAGGGGTGGGGCCTTAGGTATTCACCCTGTCAGGGCAGCCCTCCTTGCTGCACCGCCTGTGGGGGAGGGGCCAGAGAGGGAACAATACGGCTTGACTGCTTTCTCTAGAGCACTTTCCAACAGGCTCTAGTGTCAGACTGGAAGTATCTCTCACAACAGCAACCCCAACCTTAGCCCACAGTCAGCTCTGAGTCTCAGTTTTCCCTTTAAGTCAACCCCTCTGGGGCAGCTCTGCCAAGGTGGGCAGTGGGCCCCACCCCTCAGCCACCTCTGGAGGTTTTTCTGAGTCAGCCTATGTGGTCCACCTTACTGGTCTGGTTATTCTGGTTGATTTTTTCTTAATTCCATGGTTGCTGGAGTTCCATGCATGCAGTTTGGTTTTCTGGCGTTTTTCATTGTTTATTGACTTTAGATTAGTTGCTATCCTCCTTTTGGTTGTGCAGGAAAGCAAAGCTGTTTCTTCTACCTATGCCTGCATCTTGGCCAGAACTCTGAAGATTGTTTATTAGCTTACAAAGTACTTCCCAAAGGCAAGTGGTATAATTATTATCCTCATTATTCTGCACATAAATAACAGGAGATTCAACATTAAATGTCTTGTTCGATGTCACTTAACTAAAGAGCATCAAACCAAATTCTGAAAATTCTCTTTTCAGAATTTTGGACTCCAGAAATGTGTGCTATTTCACTTTGAGAACATTGTGACTCACAAAATGTATCACAGAATGTCTCACTTTTCTTATTCTTAAGAATTTAGTTGGTGCCTAATAATTCAGGTGAAGCTATAGCAATTATGTGAGGGGACCATTTAAACCCAATCAAGTGGAGCTTGGAAGCCCAACATATTCCCCCACTTCCAGGAGGAGGTGAACCTCGACACTCCTTGGATATTACCCTGTAAGAAACACTTCCAAAAGCCTCCTTTGTGCACATTGAGTCTGGAACCACAATCAACTCTTTCCAGGAGCATTAAAACCTTTGGATCAATATTGAGATTAAATAATTGAATTTTAAATTGATTTATGTCTATGGGAACTAATGTTTTTATTGAGAATGACAGAAAAAAGTATCACTGATAAAAGAGACAAGATTCATGTGCTGCTTTCCTTGGCATCTCCAACAAAACACTCGTCATTATAACCACCACAGTACCTAGCACAGGGCCTAGCACCTACTAAGTGCTGGAAAAAAGTTGTTAAATGAATGAATGTACTCTATACAAACAGTTCAAAAAGTCTTTTTTTAAAACTCTGTACACTTTCTTAAAATTTTGTTTTTCCATTACAGCTTGCATTCAATATTATTTTGTATTGGTTTCAGGTGTGCAGCATAGCAATCAGACAATTATATACTTTACCAAGTGATACCCCAATACCTCCAGTACCCACCTGGCACCATATAGTTACTATAATATTACTGACTATATTTCACATGCTGTATTTTACATCCCTGTGACCACTTTGTAACTACCTATTTTGTACAAATTTTTATTAAATGTATTGGGGTGACATTAGTTAATAAAATTATATAGGTTTCGGGTTTATAATGCTATAATACATCATCTGTATATTGTATTTTGTGTTCACCTCCCCAAATCAAGTCTCCTTCCATCACCATTTAGTGCCCCCACTTTACCTTCTTTTACTTTACCTCCCCCCCTTTCCTTCTGGTAATCACCTTACTGTTATCTGTGTCTGTGGGGTTTTTTCCCCTTCGTCTGATCCCTTAACCTTTTTCACCTGGCCTCTCAATACCCTCTCCCCTCTGACAGCTGTCAGTCTATTCTCTTGTCGTCTGAATCTATGAATCCATTTCTATTTTGTGTGTTAGTTTATTTTGTTCATTAGATTCCACAGATAAGTGAAATCCTATGGTACTTGTGTTTGCCTCACTGACTTATTTCACTTAGCATAATACTCTCCAGGTCTTTAAAAGTTAATGAGGATATTTTTTTAAACGAGAAACATTGTCACCTTTTAAGAATTCTTTATGGAATTGCAATGGCTAATCCTAAACTTGTTTCCTTTCTTTCCTTACCTTTGAAGAGAGAGGCAGCATGGCACAGCCGAAAGGGTGCTGGGTGATATGCTGACAAGCCTGGGATTCAGTCTAGTTTGTAACTGAGTATTTGGTGACATGCAACACATTAAGACATCCTCTCTAGGTCTTGGTTTTTTCTTTTGCAAAGCGCAAGAACTTGTGAACTAGGTTAGTTCAGCTCTCACATCTGTGCATTCAAATTAACTTTTGTATTTGTATGACCTGAAAAATTAGGATGATACATGTTTAATGAAAGTGAGATATAGGCTGACTTCTGGTCAAGATGGCAGGGTAGGCAGACATGGCTCACCTCTTCATACAACCAAATCAAAATTACAACTAAAGTATAAAACAACCATCACTCAGAACCATCAGAAATGGAGTTGAATGGAAGTCTGACAGCTATGCAATTAAAGAAACCACTTCCATCCAGACTGTTAGGAGGGGCACAGTGGCTGAATGGGCTTGTCTCTCACCAAGGTGTCATGGAGAAAAGTTTGGGAGGGATATCTTGGGAGAGAGGAGTTCCAGACCCACGCCAGGCCCCCCAGCCCAGGGTTTCAGTGCCAGGAAGATAATAAGTCCCCCCAAACTTCTAGCTGTAAAACCAGCAGAGATAGAGTCATTGGAAAAAAACTTCTGGGGACTCAAACAGTTTCTCTTAAAGAACCCACATATGGACTTGCCTGCTGAGACTCACTCCCTCTGAGCTGCAGCACCAGGGTAGCAGCTTAATAAGCACCAGTGGTATACAGGGAGAAACTGAACTGTCTGGCATCAAGGTGAGCAGAGGCCATTGTCCCTTTCCTAAACCAGCCCCTCACAAAGCCAGCAACCTGGTGCCATATCTGAGACTCCATCAACCTGGTTAACACTGTTTGACCTTGCCTGGGAGATCCCCTGAGATCCGCCCACCCAACTTACTGGCCCAGCCAAGCTGCTTTTCCATATGAATGGCTGGTCTTGGCTCCTGCTTCACAACTTCCTAAATCCTACTGAACAAGCAACAGCTCACCTCATTTAGCCCTAGTCACACACTAGCAGCAGCCAGCCTAGATTCATAGTTTGGCTTTACCTGGGACTCTCTAAACCAAGCACAAGTAGCAGATATCTCAGATTTCTGTATAGCTCAGGGAGGGTTGCCCTGGACTATACACAGGTGGG